GTTCCAGCTGGAAATTTGCAAATTTCTACCTTAAGAAGATCGTTTCCAGCTGGAAATTTGCAAAGTTCTACTTCAAGAGGAACGTTTCCAGCTGAAAATTTGCAAAGTTCTATTTCGAAACTTTCTCTTTTTTTAAGTATAATAAATTTAAGACGCAAACTTTGAAGATGTGTGACGCATATTCTTCTATGTTTAAACATATTATTGTCAATAATAAAATTAATTTCAAAGAAATTTCGAATTAAGATTTATTACGTTCCTCTCTCGCAAATTTCCAAATCATTTGATTGCATAGAATTAACAAGATTTATCCAAAATCACGATGGAAAATCATTACCATAATTACTCCTCTGCATTAATTTAGCATTTCTCCTGTATTCTGTTTGCTTTTTTCTTTAACAAGAGAAAGGGAATTTAATTGTTTTGAGGGTAATTTCTTCACCAGAGAATTGTCTTTAATTAAATAAAACGTGAAGAAGAACGTCTCGACTTAATGTTAATTCCTTAATGTTTATGGAAGAATTAAAAAATAATTTTAAGGAGATTAAACGTAATTAAAAAGATATTTTTTTAAATGTAATTATTATTAATCTTTCTAAAAATTTACAAATCTGAAAAAAAAACTGTAATAACTTTGATTTATTTTTCTAGAAAAAAAATTCAGTTTTTCTGGATGTTTTTTGCACATGAAAGAACATTTTCGCATTATGAAATTAGTCATAAATTATGTAAAATGTTCGTTCATAAAAAATTTCCCAAAGTTGCACTTTAAAATATTAAAATTTAAAGAAATTTCTAAGTTAGACGAAGAATTCGAAGCCATATTTATAATTAAAAACGAGAAGATAAATGATGAAAGATGCTTCTGGAGTAGACATTATGGAAATGGAGGAGAAGATGCTCGGGAGGAAGTAACTTTTGTTAAGATTTTTCAAAAGAAATTGCTAGCTTGCCCCCTTCTAAACACGTGGATAAGAGTAGAATATTTAATAAACAAGTAATGAATAATAAATAGCAGATTATACTTATTGCATGCTCGTTTGGAGCCGAGCTAAGAATAGGAAATGGAGATGAACACGAAAGAAGCGTATAGATATGGAGGTTTTAACTTTTAAAATATTCCCAACGAATTTATGTAAAATGTGCTTGTGTGCCTACTTTAAACCTGTCTAAGATGGGCAAGAGTTAAAATTATGTGAGAAGTTTGTTATCCTGTAAGGAGAACAGGACGTGGTTTCCTTAAGATAATGCAGGGTGTAAAGGTAAACCCTTCAAACAAGGAGGGAGGATTATTCATAAATAATTGATAATTTAATCGAGATTGGGGAATGGAGATTGTAGAATTGATGGATTAAGTCATCGAAACACGTGTTGTGCCTCTATAGGAAACTAACTTTTAGGTGCAAACCCACGCCTTCAGGTGATTAATGGAATAAGGCAACATGACATGCCAAAGATATGTCAAGGAGGGAGGACTTTCTATTAGAAACTAGCCCCTATTTAGGTGTTCGACATGCGAAAAAAAAACCCGCGTGGCCAGTTTGTAGATGAGATACGAACCCGCGACTAAACTATCAGTGTTTAATGCTTTATCCACCTGATGGGGGTGAAGAAATTGTTTTAAAATTTGTATTCGCAGAAATAAATAAGGGCATAACTCGAAATCATATCGATTTTCTGGTAAGATTCTATTATATTTCGAAGAATTGTATAATTTGAGATGTATTCAGAGAAAATAAATGTGGCAAAGCTAACATCTAGGGGCTTATTACCAGAAAGCCAATTCTCGGTAACGATCGGACAGAAATCGAAAGTAAAGTAAAACTGAGTTGACAAAATGCTATATACGTTGTCATGACGACTAATTTTACTTTCTCTTACAATTGAAAACTCTCCGCCACCCCCAAATTTGACGTTTTTACAAAGGTTTTAATATTTACCTTTCCAGAAATCTTCTCCTGACTTTGTATTCGGCTGACGTGAGAAAGAGTTTGAATTTCTGTTCAGTTTGTCAGTCCGAATTTGTCTTGAAAATATCCAACAGATGCCGGGATTTATTTCATAATCTTGCCCAAAAGTTGGTTAATCATGACGTAGAATGAATTTGGAATCACTCCAACAAGCTGATTATAAAAAAAAAACGTGTCCAAGGGTCGTAATTTGTGTATTGAAAAACGACGGATTTTATTTAATAAAATCGAATTATTGTGACATCGTCACAATGCCCGCCGCAATTTTGAACTATATTTTAAAAACCACGTCACTTCCGGTCCAGACCAGAAGTATAATCGAGATCAGATATTGAAAGCCCTAATGTTTCCTTATCTTGTCTCGATTTTCATCTAGTTAGTTCCCCATATCTGGTCTCGATTTTCATCTCGTTAATCCCCATATCTGGTCTCGATTTTCATCTCGTTAATCCCCATATCTGGTCTCGATTTTCATCTCGTTAATTCCCATATCTGGTCTCGATTTTTATCTAGTTAGTTCCCCATATCTGGTCTCGATTTTCATCTACATAACTCTGTTCTTGAGGTTATTAAAAACAGATAGATGATAGTGGAAATCCGCAAGTCTACAATTTGAAAATTGTAGCACAATAATTTTTTAAAGGTTTTAAATACTAGTGTTTGAATAAAACAGTAATGTAGTACTTACGATTGTAAACTGATTTTTGGACCGCACAAGTAGAGTAATTTTACGTTATGATTTATGAGTTTTCTCTTTAACTAGCTCTTTCACTTCGTTATTGTTTCAATCGTTTAATGTTTAGAATTGACGTCGACACTGGTCAGGCGCAAACCCTTGACCACTGAACATTGTACACGGGTTCGCAAGTGACATACGTGCTGGCGCGTGGAGTTTTCCGGGTTTTATTCCTGTATCTAAATGCCTAAACAGGAGCCAATTCCCATAGAAATTTCTCCCGCGAAATACCACCTTGGCAGATTGCCCACGTATCGTGTTGCTTTATCTCATTAATCCAATTCAATCATCTCTAACCATAAATCATGCACTTGCTCCTATTTTATATTTTGGATTGGCTTGATAGACTAAGCCAACGCAACACATGGGTTATCTATCTCACGAGGAGGGGTACATCTCACAAGGATTTTCCATAAGTAACTTGCCTATAGGTGTTAGACACTCAAAGAAAACCCTGGAAACTACACGTGACCAGGCTGTTTGTTAAGTGCGAACCCACGACCCATTCGGCTTTAAACTTTCTAAACTTTTATATAAATGAATTTAATTTAAATCTCACTTTTAACGTTTTCTAAATTAAAAATAAAAATTCTCTTATCAACACCGAGAAAAAGTCTAGAGAAAAACTGAAATTCTAGATAAGAAAATAACGTTTTAAAATTGCTTTTGTCATTTATTATTTTTTTTCTCATTTCTTCGTTAGAATCGATTAGAACTGCTGTAAAATTTGAAATATAAAATTTCAAAGGCGGATGATAATTGGAGCAAATTAGATTCTGTAATTTCTGCACTTAAAGTAAAGAAGAAAAAAGAAAGATTCGAGAGTGATTTTCTTCTATCAAAAGTTGAGTAAATATAATTAGATTTATCCGGAAAAATCCTTTCTTTCAGGAAAAAAAAACGACGATTTAATGAGGTGCAACAACAACAAAAAGAAACTTTATTCCTTTTGTTTGATTGCTAATTTATTCAAAATAATTAAATCGAAGGAGAAGAAACTTTAAAAATGACATTAAGTTTCCTGAATTAATATTACGGAATTTTTTTTTATAAATTTTGCTAATTTTATTGGCATTAGTTATTCGTCTGTTTTGATTGTAATGAATTAATGATCCACCAGCATCCGAGTGGATAAAACCACTGAACATTAGTCGCGGGTTCGGACTTCCCAGTGAGCTGGCACGCGTAGTTTTCCGGGTTTTCTTCATCTAAATAGGAACCAGATTTTCACAAAAATCCTCCAAGAGGCATTTTTTCTTAGGCAACGTGTTAGGCAAATCGCCCATGTGTTGTACTCATTGTTTCACCAATCCAATCCTACTGAATTAATGCCGAAAAAAGCCATTGTTAATTATGTATAAGTAGTGTATATATAGTTTAGGAACAGTGTTTTTTTTTTTTTAATCCGTGACGGCCAAATATATCAAGAACAAACCATTCTCGAAATGCTGCACTCTTTCCAATTTCAAGGTTATCGATCGGTTCCACACAATAAATTCTACAGGAGGGTTCGACTAATAGCAAGTTCGTGTTCTATAGAAAGAATGTTCCATTAGTTTGGGGTCTAAATTCAAGAATTGTACTGTATGTGATAGTTCAAATAAGCTTTTCTTTTATATACATTTAAAGTTAAAATCCACAGTGTTTATCGGGTTTTGGAGTGGGAATTGTGAGTCACCTTGCTAAAATATCATTAAAATGCATTGTCATCAGAATTAGGTGTGTCGTCAAAATTTGAGTGCAAGATTTGAAGATATGTTACTAAACATTTAAAAAAAACACTGAATTTTGTAATTTAAAAATCAGTTTAGCCTAAAGTTTTTTCTTTCTTTCTTCTGTTCTTATTCTCCCCTTCCTTCTCTTTCTCGTATTTCTCTTCTTCTTTCTATCTTCTTTTCTTCCTTCTATTCTTTCTCCTTTTTCTCATTTTCTTTATTTTCTTCCTTTCACCTCATTCTCTTTATTTTCATCCTTTTCCTCCTTCTCCTCCTCCTCCTTTTTCTCTCTTTTTCCTTCTTTCCTTTGTTCTCCTCTTTCTCTTCTTTTTCTCTTTCAACTTCTTTCCTTCCTTTCCTTTCTTCTCCTCTTTTCCATTCTTTCTTCCTTCTCTTTTTCTCCTTTTCTTTTTCCTTCTTTTCCTATTCTTCATTTTTCTCTTCTTTCTTCTTAACACTTACTAACATTACAAGGAACAGATAAATGTCTTAATTTCATCATAATTAAACTTGATTCACCATATTTATAAGAATATTTCGATGAAAATTTTCTATAATTTATCTTATTTTCGGTTCCAGAAACGTTTATACAAGTCTTTCGGATTATTTAATGTGGCAAAGAAATAGTGAAAAGATCAATTAAAAGAATAATTGTCTAAAAAGAACAAATTCAGTCAGTATCAGGTATTGTACATTTTAATTTTTAATAATATTTCTTTTAAATACATATTTATCTTATAATTAGCAATTAAGGCATATTAATCCTCAAGTACTGTACAAGGTCCTCAGTATGTGGTTTCGATTTTCGATAAAAAAAATTTACTTCAAAATTCAGCCGTTAGGGAGAAATTTGGCGCTGATGTTCCCTTGACGTATATATTAAGTTCGTTTTCTAACAAATTCCGGATATAAAAGAAGTCTCTTATACCCAAAATTCTTTAGAAAACGTATTGTATCTAATATATATTAAGCAGAGAGCAGCGCCCAATTCTCCCTACCGGCTGAATTTTGAAGTAAAACGTGGAACTTATATTGTTTACAGACAGACTTCTTTAACGACCTTTCAGAATGATAAAAAATTCGGAAATACTTTCGAATATTAACAATAAACAAATTAAAATGCAAATTAGAAATTCGACAAGTTGATAATTCAAATATTTCTTGATTTTTATGGAGATTTGCATATTTATGTCTTGATTTATCGTCATAATTATTAATTAAACAAGTACAAATAGTAATATTCGATAATGCATAAATTTCTAAAATATTTACATCGAACTGAATTAATTTTTAATTAATGTAAATTTAATTAAATTTTAATTAATTTCAATTTTAAAATTAATCCGTAAATTCACATAAAATGTTCAATTTAAACGCATTAAAATGCAAGTAAAAACCGCTTAATTCTCTAAATAAAACTTACAATTCTTACTTAAATGGTTATATAATTTAATACACTGTATATATGAACCTTCTATGACGGACACCTCTTAATGACGGACACCACTAAATGGTGGCTATTTTTTCGATTATTTTTTTTGTTTTTGAAGAAATATGCGCACAAAATAACCTCCAAACAAAGGCCACCTCCGAACAATGGACATTATTTAAGTAATGTCTTCTTCTCGACATTCAAAAATCCAAAGATTAATTAACCTTTTCACTTCCTTTTCATCATGTCATATGATGTACCCCTTTAAAGAAATTTTCGGGGGGAAAAATAAGAAAATATGGAACATCTGCATTTATTTTGTTTTTATTTTTGAATCTTTCCGCCTTAAGAGGGTCTTCTTAGTGCCTTTTTAAGCATACCATCGTGGGATTTGATTGATGAGATAAGGCAACGCCTGCACAAAAAGGATGCTTCTCGAGAAGATTTTCAGTGGGTGAACTGACTCCTATTTAAATGTTAGACAGATGAATCTGGCCCAACCAATGTTGGGACCCATCAAGAGGATAAACCACAGAATATAGTTGGTTGCTGGTTCCCTTCTGACCAAAGTATCCTAGCCGGCCTTTTGGTCAGGAGAGAATCCACAATCGTGTTATCCTCTTGGCCAGTGATGCGTTATCTTATGAGCATAAAGGGCAATTGCCTCAAACCAATCTTTTATAAAATCATTACTGTAGTATGAATATCGAAATTTAAACTTGACGCCATATATGGGAATCCTAAATTGTCGATTTGGCGCATAACTTAACCCTCCAGATAGCGAGGAAACCGTAGCATTCCTCCAAAAATTATTCTCCCGAAAAAAAATCTCTGAAGCCAACCCTGTACAGTACGTGAGGCCATCCAATTTAAAATTTGCCCAGGTCCCAAGAAGCTATAACGCGCCACTACTCTTAGCCAATGATGGTTTCCATTATGAATTAAAGTATATCTACAATGAAGAAAGCCGCGTGATGAGGAACAAAGACCGAAATACCAGGAAAGACCATCCAAAAAAAAAAAAACAAAACTTCCTGACATTTGACCCGGCTCACAAAATTGATGGTGAATTTTTCTGCGGTTTTCTTCACACGTCTAACAAGAGGTGCTAAATCCTCCCAGGAGGAATTAGCACTCCTTGTTAGATGGCACTTTGAAAATTAATTATGTGAATTATCAGGATATAAATCAAGAAAGAATAAGGAATCAAAGAATTTATATGGTGCATTAAGATAAATTGAGGTGATGCACGAGGGAAGAATTGCCATTACGGACAGCTGTTGCAGGAAATTTATAAAAGTCGATCCTTAATACTTCAACATGGAAGAATTATCAATTTCATTTCTTGGAGATCAAAAATTCTTAAAATATCGAAAACTTTAATAATTAATTTACATAGAATTTATGGAATTATAATTATTTACCAACGAAACAAATTAAAATACTAATTTACAGGAATGTTTTCAGTTTCATGTGTAAAATAAATATTGATGAGTACCCACCAGACCGAATGGATAAATTATTCAACACTGGTCGTGGGTTCGCTTCTCTCAACGGTTGGTTTATCGGATCTTCAAGCTGGGTACTTCAAATTTATAAGTTATTCTCATGTTTTTGGCATTAAAATGTAATTTTCCAATTAACAGGCAATAGCTTTAACTAGATTTATACAACTTGTATAGAGATTTATACAGCTTGTACAGAGATTTATACAACTTGTATAGAGAGACGTTGATGTATTAAACTTCTGTAAATTCTGATGTTTCCGCCTCTCACAAATTGAATTCCGAAATTCATACTCCCCTCTCGAAGAATATACAAATATTTGCACTTTCCCAACACAACTTTAGCATTAGAAACGATGATAAATAAATAAATGTGTAAATTTATTGAAATCCTCCATGACTTTTATTTATCAATATTAACTCTCGCCATTCGTTTACTTAAAGCTGTATTAATTAAAATTTGATTTTAAAAGAGTCTGTCATTATCTTTCTCGGTGTGCTTCGGGAATAAGTACGAATATCTACTACTAATTGGTCGAAGGTGAATGATATAATATCGGTAGAACGAAATATTCCAAGTTTAATTTCTCTTCGTGACATTCCTTAGAGAATCTCGACGGTTAATTGGGGAGAACCGTGTTTAATTCACTTCGGACGTGATCCATAATCCTTACTAAGTACAGAACAAAGTAAAGAATGAATGAACTACAGAATAAAGTAAATAATAAATTACAGAACAAGTAACGAATACTATAAAATAAAGTACAGATTAAAGTAAAGAATCAAAACTACTTTGTACTTCATCTTTTACTGTAGCCTTTATTCTTTATTGTGTACAGCAAAATAAAGTACTGTCTGTTCTGTGCTGTGTGTCTGTTCTGTGTGTCTATTCTATTCTGTCTTCTATAGCACAGAATAGATAGTACTTTATCCTTCATTACTATTCCTACAGTACTATATCCTTCATTACTATATCCTTCATTACTATTCCTACAGTACTATATCCTTCATTACTATATCTTTCATTACTGTATCCTTCATTACTATATCCTTCATTATTATTCCTACAGTACTATATCCTTTATTATTATATCCTTCATTACTATTCCTACAGTACTATATCCTTCATTACTATATCTTTCATTACTGTATCCTTCATTACTATATCCTTCATTACTGTATCCTTTATTATTATATCCTTCATTACTATTCCTACAGTACTATATCCTTCATTTTTTATTGTGTACAATAGAGTACAGAATAAAGTATTATTATTATTATTAAGATCGATTATCGTTTCATATCAATTTAAATATCGTCAAGGAAATTAACTGATTTCGCTAGAGGAAAGTTTTTCTAGGATCTTCTCCACACTTTTTAATTATTCGAGTCTGTTGGATTTCTTCTTCTTGGAAATTTTAAACGAGGAACTTACGAGAAACATCGTTAAATATCGATTAAAATGGAGAAATTCACATTTAGTTATCGTTTGCCTTCCAGCGGATTACTACAGCGTGTTAAAGAAATTCCTGAATTCGTGTCGATTTTAAACTTCTCCTTTAAGAAATTAATGTAAAAAGAAATTTTGAAGACGGTACATGGAATAATTAATTTTGAAATATCATTAATTATTGATGAAGTATAGAATAAAAATAAATGTAATTAGGTTGACAAATTACACTTAGACGTTTTCATTAATGTGGTTAAATTTTTTTTTAAGTTTTATTTTTACAGAAAAAAAGAGGGGGGAGAAATTTATGAAATTTCCATTAATCAAAAATGCTATTTAAAAGGGAAATTAAATATTGATTTTATGATTTATTTAAATAGAAAGTTTATTTTCTTCTTTTATAATTAAAACGTTTGGTGTGATTACGTATTTTAGAGCCATATTACTCGTATTAGATCGTTAGTTAAAGATGATTCTTTTTAATATTTGTTTATATTCTATTTGATATTTCATTTAGAACCGTTCATGGAATAAGACAATGCAACACGTGGGCAATGTGCCAAGGAATGGTGCTTTTCTGAGTAGATTTCTACGGAAAACTGGTCCTTTGTTGTGTCTCTGATTAGATTTTTACAGAAAACTAGCCCCTACTGAATTGTTTACTATGTGAAATTAATTTTTATTTGTGCCTTTTGAGTAGGTTTCTACGGAAAATTGGCACCTGATGGTTCCTTCAGAGTGGATTTCTATAGGAAAATGGCCCCTAGTGGTGTCTCCCGAATAGATTTCTATGGGAAGTTTACCATCAATGGTGAGTGTCGGGTAGATTTTTGTGAGAAACTTGCCCCTATTTAGGTATTATAAACGTGAAGAAACCCCAGAACTCCACGTTAGTGAGGCGTGAACCCTCGTAAAATTATCAGTGTTCAATTCTTTTATCCACTCGATCATTGGTAGGTTCTATTGAATTTTCTTCTCTCACGTATAATTCATATAGGCCTATAGATTTTACTCCTCTTCAAGTTATCCGCAACAACACACAGTATAAACATATTAAATTTGCATAAGTTAACCGTAGAGAACACAATTACAACAATAATATTATTATAGAAGCTTATAATATATTAATATCATAGAACTGGGACAATAAATTTCCTTTAATTAATCCAAATATTTGGAACAATGTAATAAATTTTGTCAGCTATGACGTTTATCGAATTATATTTCATATTGTAATTATCCTATGTTATATATCGAGCGATTTAATAAGAATAATGGCTTTCATTTCTATTTTTAA